GCCAGAGCTCCTCCGGCATATCGCATCTCCTCATTTCCTGTCTTATTCTCTCAATCCACGATTTGGTAGAGCGTCCTCTAGGTTTTCTGTCAGGGGGGACCCAATCCAGAACCTTCTTAGGCAATCTACCAACTGGCATCCTATTAGCATGCCCATACCGGACAAGCAGTTTTGTGAAAATGTCATGCACTATGTTGTTTTCGACACCCATAATTTCACGTACCCTTTCATTCCGAACGTGATCTTTCCATGACACTCCGGCCAATCTACGTCATTAGTCCCATTTCGGACACATTAATCAATTCTAATTATGTGAGGCCCCTCTCCGGTGAGATCCTAATGAGATGGGGTGTCATTTGATAACATTGCCACTAGTATACTAGAATCCATAAGCAGGTCGAAATTGATAAGCGCTCGAAATTGGCTGAACGCTTAAAAGAATAGTTCGTTCTAAATAATTTTTTATTCTTTGTCGAGAAGGGAACTAAACGACCAACCTTGTCGTCTTTTTTTCAATTTCTTAGGAATTAATTAAGAAAAGAGCTGCAAATCATCACATTGCATGCGTATAACGATCTATTTCGGTCGGATATATTAACGATCTATCTATATAACTTCGGAGCCGTAAAATGCCCCCCCCCCCCAAAAGACCACATTTCTTGAGCAAAAGGTCTTCATTCCACCTCAGTGCAAAGTTTGCGAAAGATAATTTCAATATCTTTCCTTCTGCACGACCGGCTTGAGTTGAGCTCCTTACTCTGCAGCAATATTGCGCAATGAGAAACTTGATAGACTGATAGCTCCTGAAACTCAGATATTAACGATGCCATTTCTAGCCATCTGATCGACCGATAATGCATGTCGGTTGTTGATTACCTCATTATTTGTGTTAAACGGTCTCTGGTATTTTTTTACCGTTGAAAATAAGAACTAAAAAACCCTAGAACAATGAGTACCCTATTGTGAGACAATCTTAAGTTTTTTTCGAATGATGGAATAGTTAATTATTTTATGGTGTAACATTACCATGTTTTTAATAAGCCAATTGAATCCAAGTATTCTAAAAAAATTGATCTCATAAAGTTATGTAAAATCGAAAAACATCCGATGATTCACGCTTGGGAAAAACTGAAAAGCCAAGTTATGCGTAAGCTGTTTTGACCAACTTTTTGACCCTTCCTTCCCCTGTGTGAGCCACCTTAAAGCCAACCGTAAACCTTTTTGTTGGTGTTGTTGTTGTTGTTGTTGTCTATTAGCGATAAAAAAATACAAATTTTGTGAACCTTTTTTCGTCGGTATAGTTATCCAAGGGAACTAAGTATTATACCAAATTGTGTGTGTATTCTACCAAGTATGGTCATGATTTTTGACAGAAAGTTTGGCATCGGCAGTGGTAGAACTTAGATTGATTTTGCGAAAGTTGGATGGGAGCTCGCGCGGAAACGTTCAAAGCTCTGTTTGCGAGTAATCGATCGGTTGTAACTGCTCGGAAGTCATCTCAGGTTCCGCTTGTGCTCCGGGTGGCTTTGGCGCGGCTTGCTTTGCGTTGGCCTGGAAATTGTTTTTTAAGCTCACCTGACGTGAAACAAACGGCCAACTGTTGGAGAGCAACCCTCCAAAGCTTCTCTTATTGCCTCGTTAGCCGCTTGTGGCTTGCCCTTTTTACGTATCCCCCGTTTGGAATACTTCCTATTGTAGCACTGTTGCAAGTATTGGAATTTTTCGAAAATCTTGAAGGCAAATTTAAAAGAAACTCCCTCAAAAGTTTTATTTTACCGGAGGGAATTTGGCAACACCCAGGGACTCATAAGTGGAATTTCTTTGAAGTAAGGTATAAAGTGCTTAATTTTGTACAGGCTCATCAATGAGCTCAGTTATTTTATGGAAGGAACTTCACAAGAATGTCCATACGACGTCCTTCTATTGCAAAGTATAGAATAAAATTTTCACGCTCCAATTGTATTCCTTACCGTTCGTCAAGAACATGCAGACTTTATTTTGTGATTAGGAACTGCAATTTCTGGCTCATCCATAAAAACACATATGTGCATAAGGTAATTTATGGTACATACGTTGTTTCTAAAATGAGCCAGACGTTGTAGTTCCGAAGTGCATCCAATGCAGCCAGATGCATTCTGCGGTGTTATAAACGTAGTATAACCATATAAACATTCGGATGTTCCTCGGTGAGATATTTATTTGTTCACAAAAATTAAGAGTGATTCACTTGCAATTTTTTTGTACTTTCTTGTAGACTTTTTTGTAATTTACAAAAAAATCTATTAAAAATTGGAAACCAAGTTCCTTTTAAAAGTGTTGCTGTATTTATAGATATTTGGTCACATTCGGATGTTCATACATAGTTTTTTCACATCATGGTAGAATGGTAGAATTGGACTAGATTTTGCAATAATTAAGAACTAAAATTTCTGTCTTAAAAGTAGAGACAACATGTGTACCATTAGTCTGATCTCACCGCGGTCCCCTACACCGCCTTGCTAAGGAAAAACGCAGTATGAACCTTTAGGCGTTGGGTAAATTTCCTTTGATAAAACACGAATTTCCTGGTAAAAATGAATATTTTTCTTCCAATTTCTCGGATAATTTTTTTCGTAATTTCACCTAAAGTTTCAGAAACACTGAAAAAAAAACTCCGGCCGTGGGAGCCGAAATTACGAACTATATAGAGATACCGTCCGTTCCGGGCTCAAAGGCCGGAATTTCCGGCTGCTGGAGCCGTAACTTCGATTGCTCCGGGTTCAGAGGCCGAAGCTACGGCTCCAGCAGCCGGAATTTCCGGCCTTTGAGCCCGGAATGGACGGTATCTCTATATAGCCCGTAATTGCGGCTCCCACGGCCGGAGTTTTTTTTCCGGTGAAATTTCAAGGAAAAATATTCGTAACTTGCCGCAAAAACAAGTATTTTCTCGAAGACAATTTGGCAGCTCTCGAATGTTCATACGGCATTCTCCTTTCGTGCGGTAGTGTACGGGAACGTCTGAAAGACGTTCCTTCATATTTTTTTGGAGGATTTTCTCCACAACTTAATTTGATGCCTGTAAAAATTGCATGGAAAAATATTCGTAAATAAGCTCAAATACATGTAGCGGAAGAACTTCAGCAACTCCCGAAAGTTCGGTGAGTGATATGGCGTTCTCCCGAGCAAGGAGGAACCAGAGGCGGATCCAGCAATTTGGCAACACCGGATTCCTCCATTCAAACCTATGCTAAATAATCGATTCTTGTCCGAGCACCTAGCCCCTCCAAGAATCGATACATTCCCATAGCTTTAAATGGAGGAAATCCGGTGTTGCCAAATTGCTGGATCCGCCAATGGGCGGAGCGGACTCATTGTTTCTATTAAGATGTCTCACGCGCTAACCGTGTTCTGCCATGTCACGTAATAACACAATATGAGTGCTCGAATATTGCCAGACACCTCCCAAAAATTATTTTTTTAAAAGGGAGATAACGAATACTTACGCTCGGAATTTTCAGACAATTTAGAGCAAAGCGCCGAAAAGATTCTCTGAGAGATCGGGAGAAAAATATCGACGAGTTTCCGTCAAAATTCGTATTTTATCCAAAGATGGGCAACATGAGAAGGCTCTTACTGCGTTATTCCTCGGCACGCTCTTATTCCACCTCTACATGGAATTCCGATGAGAGGGGGTGCATTGTAGTGCTTAATGTCTTACCTGTCTTGCGGGCTATTGGACGTATTTAAATCAAAACGAACTATATCCATTCTGATATGAGGCCTGGAATCCACATGAGGCACGACTGACAGGGCTCATGACGCAATGGATATGATTCCTTTTGATTTAATTGCGTCCCATTGTGCTCAGAGCACCTGGGTATACGAGGCACCGGGGATCTCGAGGCTAAGAGGCGCCCTCCGAGAGGCGCCCTTCGAGAGACGCCCCTCGGGGGGCGCTCATCATTGTTTCAGGAAATCAAGGTCGTATGGCTACCACCTCTCAAAAGGCTCAGTGAGCCGTCGACGCGCCGAGCGAGTCATCTTGAAGCCTCTCCGATGAGCTTGAGAGCCAAACGTGAAATCGATTATCGCGCCCATGTTAACTAACGAAGCTCTCGACACAGTGGTGAGGCGTGAATGATCGATTATTGAGGTGTTCGTTGCCAACACCCTGTTTATCGATCAATTTCTAAGATTTAAATGGCAGATCAATCGATACATCGACATGAAGTCAGCCTTCGAATTGAGCTTTCCGGTGCGAAATTGGCGTGCGTTCACAAAATTTGGAGTGAAATTCAAAAGGTCATAAGCGACATCACCATCGGGTGTTGCCACTGCTTTACTCAGTGAACTCGAGAGTAATGACAGAGACAATATATTGTAGTTTCCTCTCACAGCTAGCTCGCGCATGGTCAACAATTCTACACACCATTTATACAACCTCACGACAGCCTCAGAATCCCCTTCAAATCCATGAGTATCGTTCAATCAAAACCGACTTTTCTTCAAAATTTGTCTCCGTAAATGAGACCACTGAGTCAGCTCAAAAAATAAAACCCGTCTTTTTTATTTTATTTTTTTTTTAAAAAAAGTCTTACTCTAGAAAAAGCCCCTCCAGTATAATTTTTGCCTGAATTGATCATATGGTTTTGATTTTTAGAAAGGGGTTACTAAAATATACTTACATGTACATTCTTTGACCTCGACAACTTTTCAGTCTGAAAGCTGAAGCAACTTTGACGGGTCGAAATTCCCAATCATTGTCTCTTTATTTTTAAATAACTGATAGAGAAACGTGTGAAAAATAGTTAAGATAGTTTTTATTGTATTTTCAAGAAAATAAATAAAACCATAGTAAAATAGTTTGACATTTGTCACAATCACTATTTTATCCGTACAATTTTTTTTTTAAATGATCATTTATATGGACACAATAAAGCATATTTTGAGTGAACTTACCTTAACATCTCTCAAGTTGCAAAAATAAAAGACATCTCAACGCGCTCTGACGACGTTCGTGTTTAATAGATGTCCATGTTGCGAACGCAAAATTCAAATTGAGAGGTCGCTAAGTTAAGTCGCATAAGTTTAAAAACGAGATCGGATTACGTTTTTCCTACCTTCGGCGCTTATGTTGCCTGCTTGGCCCTTAAAGCACCACTACAAATAAGAGCAACGAAGCAAACGAAATATGAAAATAGAGCAAGGAGAAAGATGCGTTTTGATGACGGCGCGGAGATACAACTATTCGTGCTTGATGGATGTCCGTGTTGCAACTGTAAAATTGAAGGCGCTATGTCGCGTCGGCGTGAGACGTGAACTCGAACAAAATGTTCCGCTCTTTAAAAAATGAAGCCCAACGACGTTGGTCGTAGATCTTCGGCCAGGATACCCTATATCTGAAGCACTACTTCAAATACGACAAACGGAACCAACATAACCAGCATTAAAAAAATAAGGGAGAAAATTTTGCAATAACTCAGCACAAATAATTATTTTTCAATTAGCGAATTGTTGTCCTTTGACAAACTTGCAATGGAGGTTTCAAATTCGAATGCCATCATTGAAAGGATCCTCAGTAAACGTTTTTGCGGCCTCTTTCCATGAAAAAGGAGGGAGAGGACCAATTAAAGAGATTAGTTCAATAAAAGTATTTAATGCTCGATGCGCCCTTCCTGCCTCTATTTGATGTTACGAAATGTAACTATTTGCAAATCGGGGGAAAAAATTGGCAGCAGAAAATCGAGAGTAAGATAAATTATGTCAGATTGTCTTGCTTTCTTTTCTGGAAAGAGATATCTCCTTATCGATTCGGGCGTGTTCTGTGTACAGTGAATGAGATCTGTTTCATGATCATCTATTCTTGTCTTTATATTTCTTGTGATGTTTGTATGATTCCTGGTTTTCGTAGTTTTTCTCGTTTGAGTAGTTGATATCCTTGCCGGACTCGTGTTTGTAGCCAGATCCCTTCTTGACGTTCTTATCACTTTTTCCTTTCTTCTTTTTGTCGTACTTTGTTGCCTTCTTTTCAGTCTAAAACAATCGGAAAAGTATTTCAATAGAACACACTGGAAGATAGAATAAGAACAAAAACAGTTGAATCGGCCTGTGCGATGATATTTCATGATGTCCAATACAGTAATTTACCGTATGCGAAGCTGAAAAATATGGAAAATACGAGCTGAAGTTGCCTCAATCGTTAAATAATATTACTTTCAGTCTTTTGAATGCATGGTGTCCAGGGTTAAACCGCTAGACTGCAGCAGCGTGTTTTAAGGGTCAAAATGAAACTTTTAAGGGTCAAAATGAAACTTTTAAGCGTGCCAGTAGGGCTCGCTTTTTGAAATCACTCGGATGTACCATAGTACAGCACACCGATCAACCAATGCTATTCAACGGGCCGTCCAAATATTTTTTTCCTCGGACCCGTTTTCTTGTCTTTGTGACGGCGGGTCTGATCACCCGCGACCTCGTTGAGATCGTAACTGATCAGACGCGTCCTCCACTCTAACTATCCGAACTAGTCGTCGCCGTTGGCACCGACCGGGGAACGAATAGTTGGCAGGAGTGTCAAATGGGAATAGGGAAAATCAGTGGAGACCTGGATTTGGAGTAAACACCTTCTATTCAAATTAGCGAGCCCTGCGATATATGATAAAAATTATGGTGGTCTTTCTCGTCGGCTGGTCCCTGTCAAGCCCTGTTGTACTGTCAAGCCCTGATGGTCTCTTACCAAAAAACCGAATGAACTGCTAATTGGGAACCCTTGAGAACATTTTCCTGTCAAAACTGTATTATTTCATTTGACAAAAACCTCATAGAAGCTTTCTTACGCTCGGAGGACTCAACTCTAGAACCTTCTTTCCCGCCAAAACTGTTAAGCGTCTTGCACTGCAAGTGCAATCTGTGATGAGCCTCGTGACTCTTTATACCATGTACTAACCGTGGCCCCTGCAGAAATCCACTCAAACCACTGCAGTTATCTCCCGATATAGCTTTGGGTGTCAGGTTTCGAGCAAGGCAATAAAAGACGGCGAGGAGAGGGTCGCCTCGTCGAACCTATTATCTTCCACGCCCGATTAACCATTCACCGTGACGCCAGGATCCACCAAATTTTCACAAAAATTGTTTTCCGTCTACTTAGCGAGTTTTTCCTTACTTTCCGTTAAAGTACAAATAAACAGAGACCTCATTTGTAAAAATCGGCCGAATAGGAGAGAAGTTGCAGTTCGAAATCCAAAGAGATTAACTCAACGCGATTTCGATGCACGGCAGTTCGCCCAAATCACGGTCGTGCGAAATGCCGCATATCAGCTTAAAATCAAGATAATTGGACGGAATCTTTAAAATCAATTTACATTCAACGTTCATGAATCAATATTTTCTCCCAAATTTAGCAAAAAGTACCAATTGATGCAAATAACAAAGACGTGAAAATAGTAGGTATGTGTCCAACATTTTAGTTATTCGGCACGCTTTTCAAACATATTCATGTTGGATTTTTCTGCTTGTTTTTCTTTCTCTATAAAGCTATATTCAGAAGTGTCCAGACAAAGAAACAGCTGAAAGCCCTCGTATTTTCTTGAAAATCGTCATTTTATCTGAATTATGAAGACGGTTATGGACTAAAACCATGGAAAATGGCTAACTTTAGCACTTATCAGCGCAGAATTCTTCATTGACCTTAAAAATATCGAAATCTTACGGTAACTAGGGATTTTATGAGGTCCTTGGATCTTTTAGCATACAAATATTGTCTCCTTCAATCTACCCCCTCCCCCAAGCCCGTTGGCCCGGATGAATGTAGCGTTGTAAATTATAAAGGATAGCAATTTCCTAAAAGTTTTGGTTCAGAACCGGTCGCCGAACTTAATGAAAATCGACGATTTTTCCAAAAGTGTGGAAAGGGAATGTGACAAGCACCCATTAGAGAGAGTATATGTAAACTGTTAAGTTAAATTCTAAAATTATAATACGTATTTTAATAATTTTCTGGCAAAATTAAAAACAAATTATTCAAAAAAGGAACGTAACAGCAACAGCTGAACATTTGAAACATTCAGATCAAACCCGTACCTAGATGTCATTGATGTGTGTCACGATTTTAAGCCACACATGCAGTCTAAGTATTTGCGCGCAAACGTACCGATTGGCGATCACCCCCGCAGAACAGGCATATGCTCCTTGCAAAAATATGAAACAACCTTTCCTTATCCTTGCCTCATTCCGAGAACAAGGACAACGTGCCTTTCATGAAATATGCGGGATCGCATGCACGAGTCGCCGGCTATGTTTGAAAGGGATCACAGCGATAAATACGTGGAGTCCGTGCACAAACGCATTTTCGCCCCTGCAGGGCTAATATCCCTTAATTCCTTTAAATAATTCCGAATGCACGCGCTGGATGCTTGGCACTTGGACTTCCAGATTAGTCTTTGCACGGCCGGAATCCGACGCCTGGAATTCACCCGTGCGTCTCCGCCAAGTAAGCGAAGCTTGGCTGTCGTGCTAAGGGAGAACGCCGTATAAACATTCAGATGTTGCCTCATCTTCCGCCAAGAAACATTCATTTTTGAGGAAATGTATGAATATTCTTCCTTTAAATTTTCGGGTGATGTAGATTAAATTGCAAATAAAATCATCAGGAAAATTGGAGGAGAAACATTTACAAATTTCTCTTAAAATTCAAATTTTATCAAGGGAAATTTGGCAACGCATAAAGGTTCATATGGCGTTCTTCCTTAGTACGGCAGTTGGCGACTCCGCCACCCCGCTTTAGTTTGACTGCGAATCTTCGCCACCCCCACTCCCTTCCGCCCACTTGATACGGAGAATCCGTAACAGTTGCGGGACAGCTTTCCTTAGAATTCGGCCTATTCCATAGTTTGCAGCTGGCGCACCCTTCATCGAAACGCCGAATCTTAATTTAATTGGTCACTACAGGGTGTAGATGAAGACGTCGTAGTACGTAGATTCTCTGAATAATTTTACATGGACAATTATGCCCAGCCAAATGCTTGAGAACGTTGTGTGTTGAATGTTTTCTAGGAACGTCGATGGCCACCCAGCATCAGGGCCCAGCAAGCAGGGCGTTCGTACTGTAGGATTTTAAACAGCTCTTTTCCTTTGGTAGGTCCTATATATGGTTTATTTTGTGAAGAGAGGGGGGGGGGTTCAAGGGGGCCTTTAAACATAGCATGATAAAAATGACGCTTTTAACGGAACTCGAAGTTTAGGTGTGTCTTTTCGAACACAAACCGACAAAGTTAGTACATTTTTCAGAAACTTCAATATTGAAATTTTAGATATTGAGGTACTTTTTTACGGGAGTAGTTATGCTTCACAGTTTTGAATGTTTTGATATGTTTTGATGTTTTTAAATAATGATGAAAAACAAGAAAAATTCTAAAAAGTTTTTTTTAACTATGAGCGCAAAGTTTGACATCGACGAAAATTGGCCAAAGTGACTCTCTTACATCCCTAATGAACATACTTGAAGGATTTTTTTGTCCTCCGAAGGGATCGTTACGAAACAGCGCGTCGAATGCTGAAAAACCCGCATTTTTCGCCAAAATTGGCCTTCAGACCCATGTTTAGGCCAGTGGTAGACCCCGAAATAGACCGGAAATGACAAAACCATTGTGCATTCCGTAAAATATAGACCTTCAATGACCAAAAAATCGCGGAGTTGAGGAATTTTAGGGTGGGGCCAAAAAAGGCCCTTAACGATACCCCTCCTTTGAAGGAAAAATGATAAATCATATTCAGATCTGAAAGAAAATGTCTCGAGATAACCAATGGAGCACCTTTAAAACCTCAACATTTTGAATAAACGGAGTTATAAGCCTTTTAAGCTTCCAAATTTTGTCCGACCTCTTCCATTCACTCGATCCACCGTGCGGCGGTGCAGCCCTTTGAGCCGTCCCGGCACTTTTTGCCGCACCCGTGTGCCCGGTAATCGTTTCGTTTATCCAGCTTCGCTGAGCTCAAAATTCCCTTCACAATTCACAGGGCGAGCCCCCGGGTCCCGGGTCGCGGGTCCACGGTGGACCGCGCAGGGATCCATCCGTTTCGAGACAAGTTAAACCGTTCGTAAGACCGGATTTGCGAGGCGCCGTCACCGCCTCGGAGCCATGTCCCGCTCCGAACACACCGAATCGAGTCATCAAATCCTCGTCCGCATCACCCATTCTTATGTAAAAGTCCTGATTTTTCAGCACAATATGGCAACTAAGTTCGAGTCAAAGCACGGCCTATCCCTCCGCTCATGATAAAGCTTGAGTCCGTTTCCACGTGGACCCTGGAAAGCATGGAGATTTACGGATTTTGGATACCAGCTTGAACGGAAGTTACACTCTTAGGTCAGTATGTGTGATGGCTTCGTCAAACGCAAACAGGACGTAAGCGGATTGTGACGAGATAGCTGAAGGAAAACATCGCGATTAGTTTCAAAGCGCCACTCGTCGCCTCAGTGATTGATTTTAAGTACCGGTAATCTGAAATACACTACCCCTTACGATTTCGGGAGGGATTGGGGGGGGGGATATCCCGTGGGCAAGGAGACTTCACGGATACGAGAACGGAACTTTTTGACGTCATCTCGACTTTCTGAAACTTCGAGCCCTATTGGACGTCAACAGACAGAATTGATCCAACCACGCAAGGGATTTCTCAAAAATAACAAGCTACATAGAGGGGGCACTTTCCAGATGCATTAAATGTTCACTTACGTCTCTCGAAAAACAAACCTCGATGTTTCACCGAATGCGTAGATTTTTCGCGAAAAGTCGTTAAAGTCATTTCGCGGAAGCGGCAAAAGTACACTGATTCCCGCGGGAATTTTACATGTATCTAAATAGAAGTTATCTCTCTAGAAACCCAGTTGAATGAGACCAATTAAGTTCATTGTACTGTCTTGCTATGAAATATAGCTACAATATGTGAGCGGATTCTTCTTTTGCGGGGATTTAGTACAATCAGATGAGCCTTTAGCTTCATGAAAGTAATGATGTTGAACCCTTAAATATCCAAGACTTTTTCAATGGCCCGGTCCCAAGTCGCGTTAAATTGATCCATATTTAAATACATTGATTTTGATCGTTTTTAAGGTATTATCAATGTTATTTCTACGTTTTTGAAGGATAGACATAATTTTTGTTCCCCTTTTTGGTAACATATACTGCGGGGAGTTACTCTGTTCCTCCTTATCCGCCGCACAGTGCATCGAGTCAGTAGAAAAGGTCCGACAAAATTTGGAAACTTTAAATGCATACAACTTCGTTTACACACAATTTTGAGGTTCTAAAATTGGTTCCATTGGTTTTTGCTTGAAATTTTCTTTCAAAAGCACCCCTTAAAGTTGAAAATGTGACGAAATAAACATCAAAACTTGCAGTTTCAATAAAAAATTTCATGTCCAACCTCTCTAATTGACTCGATCCACCGTGCGCCGTGTGTAACTCCCCGGTACGGAAAGTACGAGCGTTGATGACGGCGAAGAGATACAACTATTCGTGCTTGATGGGTGTCCGTGTTGCATCTGCAAAATTGAAGGCGCGATGGCGGCGCGGTGTATGGCGTGAACTCGCAATGCTTCGCTCTATGCTAACTTAAGTTAATTACTTTTGTATGAATTGAAATTACAATGAGCAAGCATTGGGAATAGTAGTACCTTCTTTGTATTTTTCTTGTCTGCTGCTTCATCCTTCTTCTTTTTCGTATGTTTTTTCTTTTTAAATTTCATGAAAGTACCAGACTCTTTGTGGTTGCTATAAAACTTGTTGTCCTCCTTTTCTTCATCTCTGTGGTATTTATCATGAAAGCCCTGTTAAAATCATTCATGTCATTAACCAAGAAGTTGAAACAGGAACGAAGTCAGTTGACAGAACATAATAATTAAAGTGTGAGACTGCTTGACGAGATGGATTTTTACAAAAAAATGTCTGCATACGTAGCTCATAAGCGATGGGATTTGTTGAAAATTGATGGTATGAGTGATGATTTTTTTAAATTCAGAGTTTGCATGTCCTACTGAAAGAGGATCGTTATTTGTGTATAACAAAACAACTTAAACACAGGAATGCAAGCTATCTTTTAAAAATTAAATGTAAACATTTTATGAGATGGATGACACGCTGAGACGCTGACGCGCTTTCATTTTTTAAAATTACACTTTGTGTTAGAATATCTTGATTTTTTTCCCCAAGCATACTTTGTGGAGTTACCTTTTCAAGATCCTTTATTCTTAGGTTCAACAGTCATCAAATCCAGATACAACCTAAACAAAGATTAAACAGTGGCAAATACACGTCATATACAGGGTGATCCAAAAGTCCCTTCCACCCCCTCTAAATTTTTACCTAATTGAGGTAAAGATTTGAAACTTGGGGGATATTCGTAGGTCCAAGGGAGCTACTTTTTGACCCCCCTAAAATTTTCAGGGAGCCCCCCTTGGGGGGCAACGGCCCCCAACTTTTAATTTTCAAATGGGAAGACCCCCTTTGTGATAGCTCGTTCGAAAGAGCATAAAAAAAGAAAACGTTTCGCGCAAACCCGAGGTCAATATCTCAAACCGTTTCAAAATGGCGGCCGGTTAAAGTTCAAAATGGCCGAAAATTCACACCGGTTATTTATCGATGGATTTGCGCGAAAATCGGTATGTAGGGGTATTTTGACACGAGAAAAACGAATTTGACGTTAGATTTTCAAAAAAACCGAAATTTCCAAAATGGCCGCCAGTTAAAGTTCATAATGACCAAAAATTGATTTTTTTAGAAATCTAAGTTCAAATTTGTTTATCTTATGCCAAAATACTCTCAAATTCCAAGTTTTAGGCAAATCCATCATGAAAAAACCGAGGTGACAATTTTCGGCCAATTTAAACTTTAACCGGCGGCCATTTTGGAAATTTTGGTTTTTTTGAAAATCTAACGTCAAATTCGTTTTTTTCGTGTCAAAATACCCCTACATACCGATTTTCGCGCAAATCCATCGATAAATAACCGGTGTGAATTTTCGGCCATTTTGAACTTTAACCGGCCGCCATTTTGAAACGGTTTAAGATATTGACCTCGGGTTTGCGCGAAAAGTTTTCTTTTTTTATGCTCTTTCGAAGGAGCTATCACAAAGGGGGTCTTCCTATTTGAAAATTAAAAGTTGGGGGCCGTTGCCCCCCAAGGGGGGCCCCCCTGAAAATTTTAGGGGGGCCAAAAAGTAGCTCCCTTTGACCTAGGAATATCCCCCAAGTTTCAAATCTTTACCTTAATTAGGTAAAAATTTAGAGGGGGTGGAAGGGACTTTTGGATCACCCTGTAGGATGCCTTGATGAAGAGGTTACAAGCAGAATAACAACTCACGTTGAATCAACGGAAAAAAGGAATTACAAGGTATATCGGCAGTAGAACAACCAGACCACGCATCTCGCTTGCGGCGTTTAAAAATTTCCGCTCTCATTTTACTTTCGTGAGGGAGAACAAATCAATGAGTTCCTTGAATTTTGCACAGATTTTTCTCCACCTAGAGGAGGAAAATCACGGAAGTTTTTGAGAGTGGACGTTGAGTAAATTTCCGTAAAAAAATAAAATATGATAGGAAGTCTGCAACGTTGCAAACCAAGATACGTGGTCTGGTAGTTTCGCCGTCGCTATGTATGAAATATTGCAGGCTTTGCAAATTTAGATACCACGAGTTGTCTGAATAATCAAAGGCCCCAGATTCTCATACATATCTCTTATGAAAATGAAACATCTTACCTCTTTTAATGTGTGCTTTTCATTCTTTTTCTTGTGACCACTTTTACCTCCGTGTTTGCCACTTTTTTCTTTGCTGTGCTTGCCTTTCTTCTCCTTTTCATGCTTGGTTTTCTTCTTCTTCACGCGCTTGTGTGCATATTCGCCAACTTTTGAGCCTTTTCCTGCATCTTTGTGCTCAGCTACGGACGGAGACAAGAACTGTCACTTTCAGGCGGTACAACATCAAGTATTTGAAATACAGAAGTATAGGAATTGTAAGAACTCTCGACTTCCTTCAAACTGCTCTTCCGGACGAGTTTTTCTCAAGGAAAAATACTCGGTGAAACATGTTGGGCACACATTTGAAGAGAAAAATGGATAAATAAAAACAGGAAGTCTCATCCCTCTTTTTCAGAAATCATTTCTATAAAAAACCCATTAAAGTACCGGTGTGGAAAAGGGAAAGATTAAATAGAAGGCGCTTAAAACATACTCGTAATGATAGAAATGTAAAAAAAAATAAGGAATGAGTACATTTTGCAATAGAGAATTCGGGTTTATTTGCGAAACGACACAGATACCATTAATTTCCATATACGTGCAGGTTCTTTTATGTATGAACCAGAAATAGTAGTTCCTTATTGAAAAATGTATTTTGAGTGTCAGTAGGTCGAACTAGGCAAAAAGGAATACCAAACCAACTTTGGGATNGGGGGGGGGGGGGGGGGGGCTTATACGTCTAGAATAGCTGGGACCTTAACATTCGCGCATTTTCTCCTACCAACAATTTGAAGTTGAGGGACAATATTTAGAATGTATAAATCATAGTTAAAATGCATCTGCAGGATAAATCTTATGAAGAAATGACATTTTAAACCTCTTCCTCTTGGTTTCAACTTTAAGTGAGTTTGATTCTTCCTGTTGAACTATCAATTCCTTTTGCAAAACAATGTTATCTGACAGGGAAACCATGTTATGGTACTATTTTATCTACATTAGTAGCATAGGTAAGTAGGAATTTGTCCACATATTTTTTACATTGGAAAACGGCGTCAATTCTTACTCTTAAGAATTGCAAATGTGTCAATCTAGCATCGTTCGGACACTAACATTATATCGCGTTTTTCTAAATACGCGGCAAATTAAGGACTGATATCTCTAACTCATCTTCGGTGAATGAGATAAGTAAACTGGCGCTTGATACAACTATTCGCGCTCATGGGTTGTGCTTGTTGCTTACGCAAAAAATGAAGGCTTTTTGGCTTCTTTAGTAACAGCAGCAGGAAGGTGCGCAGCGTGGAGCATATTTTAAGTCTGTCATCATGATTTTCAAATTGAGCAAGGGCAAAAGCAGTGACTGATTTTACTTTAAACATTCAAGATTCTCTTTCTTGCTACCCGGCTCCTCTATGACGCTCTCGAAAGACCTTATAGCTAAAAGCTTCGCCGCCTTTTATCGATGATGAGACTGCGGAACTACCTACGTATTTCATTTGCAAACTTTTGGTTTAATTTCAATCTCTCAAAGAACAACTAATGACACAATTTCGTATCTTTGAGGCAACATGGTGACCACCTACACATCGAAGATTGAAGAAAGTAGATAGGCAACTGCCACTCCCACACTCATCAGTCATCAGCCCGTTTCAGAGGAACACACGTGACATACACGCGCTTCCAGAGGTTTCCCTGCGAACTGGTTTCAAATAATGCATCCACGCTTACGAAAATAAGGGCGGTTTTTCCAGATCGCTTTATGACAAAGCTCAACCCGCTGTTTTAAGCACGAGAAGACAAGTCGTGTGTTCTAGACGCTCCCCTCCGTCGCTGGCAGAGCCGATCTGAAGGAGCTTTCAGCGGGCGCGAGGGAGCTCTCAATGCATGTCTAATGCAACTCACGAATTTTCTGAGAACCGCTTCGTAATTAGCCATTTGGGATCGTAAACCTCGGGGAGCATTCCAATTCCATGCTCATTAGTAGTCATTAGATCGGTGGGTTCCGCTCTTAGCTCCCCGCGAAAACCAAGCGTAAAGGGATCCGCGTTCAATTCTACCGTGCTGTGGAAGAACGCCGTATGAACACCCGAGAGTTGCCAAATCTCCTCTCGGAAAAATGCATTTTTAAGGAAGGTTCCGAATATTTTTCCTTGGAATTTTCGGATACTTAAGATGAAATTAGGATCGAAATTCTCTATGTATCTGGACGGAAAATATTTATTAAATCGCCGGAAAATTTACGTTTAAGCAAAGGGGATTTGGCAACGTCTGAATGTTCATACGGCGTTTTTCTCTAGCTCGTTCAATAGCATAATGAATTTCGCCAAATGGTTCCCAGCCTAATAAGCGCTTCGTAATTTTGATTCGGGCCTGTAATTTTTCCGCTTCATTTCAGCAATACAGGCGGACGAGCTACCTCCCATTACAACTTTCACTCGCCGTCCTCCACGAAATGCCCTTACAGCGAGCGGTGATGGGGGAGGGGGGGCTCAGGGGGTTGGTGCAAGGGGTGAGTGGAAGGAAGGAGGGATAAAGCACCTGAAGCTGGAGCCGCGGCGGAATTGCATAATGAAAACTCGTAGCGAGTCAACCGTTCGCTTAATTTTCTGATTCTGGGAATGAAGTTGGTAGCACTTGAAATTTTAGGATATTAAGTGTACTCCCAGTTGGTCCATTTCGTCGCTCGTCGGACGTAAAAGTATAACTCCATTTCCGCGTAAGCCTTGTTTTCCATTTAACTCCATACCCTTTAGGGCTCATGAGCATGCAAAGACACGCACAGGGTGCGCCGAATTTTCAGCGAGGCCAAATCTGAATAGAAGTCCAAGGTATCTATACCGGCGCAGGAATCAATTTTGAAATATTCCTTGACGATCTTTCTCTGGGAAGTCGTTAATCAGTATTTTCCGGCAAATTAGTATCTTCTACCCCTCTTAAAACTGCGTCTGACTTTTCCTCTCAACTCTTCCAGTTAATGGCCTCATTTTTGTCATATTCTACCGAGCTAAGGAAAAACGCCGTATGAACACTCGAATGCGGCCGAATTTCTCCCGCAGGAAAATTATTTCAGGGGAAAAGTATGCGAATAATATTTTGAAAATTTTAGATAATAATTTAGATTTAATAGTGAACACAATTGTCTGAAAAATTGAAAGAGAAATATTAACAACATACCCAATAAATAAGTATTTTATCTAAGGAAAGTCAGCAACTGAAGGTTCATAGGGCGTTATTCCTCAGTGCAGTTTTTCACGCATGCAGTTTGCCACACTTTTTTCCATGGACTGGGATTATAAATCAGCAAAATGATGGACAGAAATTGCGCTGCCATTTTCGTAGGAAAAAAATTAAGTATGGAAATTTTGCAACCATGGAATGGACATACGTTACATTGTTTGGAAGACGAACGGTTCGTCTGACGAACGGATTGTGCTAAAGTTTAAGTTTCAATGAAGTTGCAAGTTAAGTTTTCTATATTCTTTAGTGCGATTCATTAAAACTTGAAAAGTTCAAAATACTACTTGAAAACTAAGATTTTTTTCTTATCAAAATTAAGTCATCAAGAAAACTCTAAAAAATCACACACACCAAGTGTCAGCTCATACGAAAGTGAACTTTCGATGGTTAAAATGTTAATTTTCAATCAAGCATAACTTACCTTCCTTTAATGCCTTATGTTTTGAATGCTTGTCATGATGTGACGAATATTTCTTTTTGTCATTGCTTTTGTGGTACTTATCAAAGAATCCTGAAAAAAAAAAAAATTGAAGTAGTAGCGAATTTTGATCCACTCCTATTCTAAACATAAATCTTTCCTTAGAATCATCCCCACTGAATTTCACGTTACCTTCCTGATTTTCTATTAGGTACATTAATTGTTGATAATTAAAGTAAAGATAACGCCTTAAAACTGTCTGTGAATTCTCTGTAAATTATGAAGAAGATACGCGTAAAATTTCAAGTTCGGAGTCGTTAGGTTTTCTGCTTGAAAATTGGAACAATAGAGAAAATTTGGTAACATCTGATGTAGGAAAGCTCATGACGGTTAAATAAGTCTAATTTCAGAAGTTAACTGGAAGTTCTGCTAAAAGGAACGATGCGTACAGTGTTCGTGCAACATAGTTCCTTTCGGCAAAAAAACGTCCAACCGTTGGCACGAGAGTTTTAATAAGACCACTCTTAGAAGTGCTAAGAAGTAAGGACGTGGTTTCTTATCAAATTGCCTATGTAACACACTATCTACATGATAAAAATTGTCAAAAGCGTCTCTGAAATAAGATGTCATCGTATATTGTTCGCATCGAAATTATAGTCAACCCAAAAACCTCACTCATTGAGGATTCCAAAAGGAACGTACATCAATTCAATCGAACTCATCGTCCATGAAGGGACCACATTCATGATTTACGAACTCCGTCCTCTTCAGAGGAAAGGATTTGTGTATTATTGCATCAGCGGGCTCATTGTTGAAATTGATAGACAAAGCTACAGACAAATAAGACAAAAGGGATAAAGAAGTATCCTATCGGTGGAAGCGGGTGGCTGCAATAGACGAAAGAGGGTTAATAAAAGACTAACTAACGGCAACCTACGAGAAACCCTATATTTAGTTAGTCCATCATTTTCTTTCTTAGTCTATCGGAACCACCCGAATTAATCGATACGATCGCTCCAGACTCCCTATATCTTCTTTTTCTATCGTTTTGTCTATCAATTTCAACAATCTGTTACAATTATTACTATAAGTGTAAATACTGAAGATTTCTCGTCTAACAAGAAAAATATATTTATGTCTCTTCTTCTTAGTGATATTATTTTTCACTCAATTATAATAGTTTTATTTTTTCTAAAAATCATTATAGTTGTTAATACAAGGATAAAAATAACTAAATATATTATTAAAATAGCATTTTTAATAATCCCTCCTTTTTTTTAAGCCCTCTGCTTTGACAAGGATTTGAGCAAGCCCTAAAAACTGAAATTATCCGTTTCACGCACAATGTGTAAAATTCTGTTACGAAACCTTTTCCTGCTTCCGTGCAAGCATACCTTGATCTTTGTGGTGGGCTCCATTGACTTGGGATTCAGAGCGAATATTATCAAGCTCTGTAAAAGGCACAATAAATGGCTGTTGAGGTATCTGAAATATTGGCACCGACGGAAGACTCGTCATGTATAATTTTTTCTGACACACACTACGACTCACCGAGTCCATCAAAGCCAAGGTCTGCAAAAATGGGGAAAAAGGAGTTGGTTACTGATACTGAGGATACACGCAAAGAAATTTCGACAATGACCAAACTCACAATTAGATCGCATTTTTCAAAAAGGGACCACACTGAAAAAAACGTTTCCTAAATTCAAGGCGACGCCGTGTTGACCTAAGAAAATTGGATACTTGAAAAAAGTGGACAAGAAACGAAGTCTTGAATGAAGAAAACGGTATTGCCTTGGTCGAAGAAAACGCGATTTCTTGAACCAAAACTCCTGTTACATTGAAGCACGAAAACGTTTCCTTCAAATTAGGAAACACCGCCGCGCGAAGAGTTTCCTAAAAGTAAGTAAGTGTTGTGTTGTTTTCAGGAAACGTTTCTTCAAAAAAAAAGGAAACAGTACCTGCAAGCGTTTCCTTAAAATTAGGAAACGGCCGGGCCCGCCGCGTCGCTGCCTTGTAGTCCAGGCAATATAGGATTTTTGAGGGAAAGTTTAGTCGAACTAGCAATTATGGGCTAACTTTATGTTTTTTGGGTCGTAGAATCCGAATTTCAACTTGCCTGACAGATCCGACCCCTCCCCCGGCCGCCATTTTGAAAAAACGCCTAAAATTTACGGTTTTTCCCCATTTTTCGCTCATAACTTTTTTTCTGTTCAAAATATCGGAAATCTCGTCACTTCTGTGGAAAGACGATTAAATTTGCAAGAGATTGGTGTATACATATGTACACTTAACGTGAAAATAGTGAGAATGGGAGCGCGGCGAAGGCAGCGGGAGATATCGATTTTGCGCCATTAGATACGAGGGTCATCCAAAAAGTAAGGTTCCCTACCTTGTATCTTCCGAGCGAAAAGAGATAAATCAAATCGGTAAAAAATCACATATTAGGCATGCTCTAAGCTTTAAAACAAGCTCAAGTTTTTGAAAATCGGTCAAAGAATCTGCGAGTAAACTTAATTTTACTGAGACAACCTCCTGTCGCCGCGTGCCCACCTCCGGGGTCAGGATGCACGGAGAATCGATTATTGAAGACTCGGGTTATCGCCTCTATACATCACATCAACAAAGAATTATAAAGTTTTCATTGAGTAGGCCTTATCTTACTTTTTGACGTAGTCCCCACATCTTTTTTGACATTTCTGGTATTATTACAGCAGCTTCTTGATGCCTTCCGCGTAGAAGCTTTCGCCTTGACTCCAAAACCAGTCATTGACAGCGATCTGCACTTCCAGATCAGTTGCTTTGCGTAGGGAAATTTTCCCCCAATCCTTCAAACTCTCTTACTTTAGCTTCATGTGACTTTCAATCGTTCCCGAGCGGAAAAACTTCCACGATGGAAGCGATTTTCAACCGATTCAGAGGTACAGATAGCTGTCAATGACTGGTTTCAGAGTCAGGGCGAAAGCTTCTATACGCGGAGGGCATCAAGAAGCTGCTGTAATGATACCAGAAATGTCAAAAAAGATGTGGGGACTACGTCAAAAAGTAAGGTAAGGCCTACTCAATAAAAACTTTAAAATTCCTTGTTGATGTGATGTATAGAGGCGATAACCCAAGTCTTCAATAATCGACTCTCCGCGCATCCTGACCCCGGAGGTGGGCACGCGGCGACAGGAGGTTGTCTCTGTAAAATTAAGTTTACTCGCGAATCCTTTGACCGATTTTCAAAAACTTGAGCTTGTTTTAAAGCTTAGAGTATGCCTGATATGTGCTCTTTTACCGATTTGATTTATCTTGTTTTGCTCGGAAGATACAAGGTGGGGAACCTTACTTTTTGGATGGGTACTTAACACCCTTTATCCCTGCGACCCTTTACGTGTAAGTCATAGTATACTAGCGGTTATTTCAATGTATTATTTTATTAATCCCATTACATGAATGACTGGTTACGGATGTAGACAAAATCAAAAATATTTTCAAAATGTGGACATGTTTGATAAGTAAGTGAGTTAGTCTAATCGTGGGCGTTTGACAGTTCGGTGAAACGAAGTTCCAACTTTTGGTGGCGGACAGGTGGATGGGCCTGGTTCTCCTCCATAGACATCACGGCCGGCGTTGATCTCCGACTCTAACATAGTATCCAGAATATGAAGCTAGAAGTCAGACAAAAAAAAAGAAAAGAAAAGAGGAAAAAAAGGAGCCTAAATTGATGGAAGATTAAAATTTTTGCATCACATATCCCAAATAGAAAAAGCGTTCTGGTTTACTGTATCTAGCAGTCTGGTGTTCATATATGGTGTGTATTTCTGATAATCCTAACCGAAATTTTTGGTAATGATTATCAGGAATAGGTACATCTCACTAACGAACACCTGATTGTTTAATAAAGCTTGTCATGGTATTTTTTCTATGCTAGAAGTTTTTGATAACAAGCGAGCAGTGTGAAAGAAATAACAAACCTTTAGGTTCATTGTTTATTTCTGAATGTGGGCTTTCTGGAAGGTCTTAAACTTCAGTCATGACAGCTTCAAAATCTTCCTCTGTACTTGGCTCGTCGAAAAAGTCATAAGCTTTAATATCATCCTCGTCCTCAGAGTCCGCTAAAGCAATTTCAGGCATGTTTTCGCATGTATCACTGCAGTTGATGCACAATGCTGAGCATTTAAGCCCACATTTCCTGCAACCGCACGCACCTCGACAACTCGTTTTGCACTTGCAGGATTATCAGAAATACACACCATTTATGAACACCAGACTGCTTGATGCAGTAAACCAGAATGCTTTTACTATTTGGGATTAGTGATGCGAAAATTTTAATCTTCCTTCAATTTAGGTTCCTTTTTTCCACCTTTTCTTTTCTTTTCTTTTCTTCTCTTTCCTTTTCTTTCCTTTCCTTTTCTTTTTTTTCGTCTGACTTCTAGCTTCATATTCTGGATACTGTTATAGAGTCGGAGATCAACGCCAGCCGTGATGTCCATTGAGGAGAACCAGGCCCATCCACCTGTCCGTCACCAAAAATTAGAACTTCGTTGCGCCGAGCTGCCAAACGCCCACGATTGAACTAACTTACCTACTTATCAAAGATGTCCACATTTTGAAAATATTTTTTATTTTGTCTAAATCCTTAACCAGTCATTTATGTAATGGGATTAATAAAATAATACATTGAAATAACCGCTTGTTTAATGTGACTTACACGTAAAACGTTGCAGGGATGCAGGGTGTTAAGTATCTAATGGCGCAAAATCGATATCTCCCGCTGCCTTCGCCGCGCTCCCATTCTCACTATTTTCACGTTAAGTGTACATATGTATACATCAATCTCTTGCAAATTTAATCGTCTTTCCACAGAAGTGACGAGATTTCCGATATTTTGAACAGAAAAAAAGTTATGAGCGAAAAATGGGGAAAAACCGTAAATTTTAGGCGTTTTTTCAAAATGGCGGCCGAGGGAGGGGTCGGATCTGTCAGGCAAGTTGAAATTCGGATTCTACGACCCAAAAAACATAAAGTTAGCCCATAATTGCTAGTTCGACTAAACTTTCCCTCAAAACCTCTATATTGATCTCTATTGCCTGGACTATTGAGAATCGACTCCCCCGCCTTGTGTCCCTCCGGGAGTGAATACCTTCACGTAGTTGACGCGCTTCGCGCTCCCTCTGGTATCCTGATGAAGAACTCCGTTTCGCCCTGGCTGAGATTTGATCCTGTAACCTTCGACATTGTCCCGGGAAGAGTGAAATTCCGACACCGTAGTCCACTCGGCCATCCTACCCTCGCGAGCGGTGAGGAGTTATTTTCCTATGTTAAACCTATTCGCATCTATCTCTTTGGCTACACAGATGCCCACCTGCTACCGTTCAATAGCACTTGGGTTTATCTAGCAAATACTACCTCAATTATCATTTAAATATATTAAATATCCACATATTTCCCTTTTCTTTCTGTTTATCAGCCGGTTCTCAGATATTATTTAAAGACCGTGGGCCATCGCCGCCATAACTTAACCAACGTATTCCCCTTTCTTTTTCATTCGGAGATAGTATGATCATGGAGTAAATTATTTTTTTATTTAAGTCTGGTTAAAGGACAGATTTTCATACGTGCCTCTCAAAGGTAAATTATCACTCATTCGATTATCCAATCTGACGCCCATATCATTAAGGTTAATGCGTAAATCAAAGAGGCTCATGTGAGAACCGCTTCTGCTCATACTGAAAGTAAATATGATTTAAAATTCCAATAAAGTATAGACAAAATAATCTAAGATTATTTAATGCTGGCTATAAAATTGGCACATGAAAGATAAATGATCTTTATGGAGTTTTCAAAATGTACTCGAATAGCGGTAAAGATGTGGTGATAAAGGCATGTATAGGTAATATTTTAGTGAGTACATACCGGGCCGAGTCAAGCTTTCTGGGATTTGAAGACACTTAAAAATGTTCGAAGCTACGACCAGATTCAAAGAGTGTACTTGCAGTAAAATGTTGAAAAGCTTCACATTATTTATTTTTACCTACATTAACGGACGCACGCTTTTGTTTTGAAAATTTAAAGAAATTTTCGTCGAATCAGAAAATTCACTGAAAAATATTAAAGAAACTTTGGCAATCCGTGCATTTCTAGAAAGCATTCTGACATTTTGGACTGAAAACAATATTTTTGATAAGGCACAAAAATTGCATTTTTTCAAAACCTCCACCTTTCCGACGATTAAATCCCTTACGAACAAGAGATAAATTGATTAAATTTAAACGTACTGAATTTGTTTGGAGTAGAGTGGATCTTACGAATAACGCCATCCAAGCGCTTCGGTCGGATTTCTGTAAAGGACCGTTCAAATAATATGCAACGCTCTAACGGAGAGAAATGGTCAAGGAGAGAGTTACGCCGTTTTGTTTTTACGTGTGAAAGAATAGGGACCTACGTCGCAAAAGTGTTACGAGGGAAGAAGTGAGTGGGGTTCCAAAAATTGGAAATTTAGCGTTACGTTTTTTATGAGCGTGATGTCTCTCATGGGCGTAAGGGTGGGCGTAAGGGTGCATGGTGGTATACGGCCGGAAGGGCTCATCATCTCAAAGTGTAGATGCGCCCTTCCGCCAAAGGAGCGACGGTATATTTGGAAGGCCCCTCTTGAGCAACTCGCCGAATACATGGTGGTGTACGGCACGTTGCATCCACCTCCTCAGTAGGCGTTTGGTAATTTTTTTGTTTCCTAATTTTAAGGAAATGGGTTTATTCGATCAACATCACATGGATCCTTAAATTGAGGAAACAGGAAATGCTATGCCCGTTTCCTAATTTTAAGGAAACTGATCTCTTCAAACGACACTCCATGGATTCTTCAATTCAGGAAACGGCTTTGCTTCTCTCCGTTTCCTAATTCTAAGGAAACAGGGTTCTTCGATCAACACCACATGGATCCTTAAATTTAGGACACAGAAGCGATTCCCTCGTTTCCTAATTTTAAGGAAACAGTTTTCCCGTTTCAAGTATCCGTTAGTCTGTTTCAAGAAAACGTATACGTGGTTCAAGAAAGCATGGTTTTCTTAACTCAACACAATTTTGTTACCTTGGATCGAGATAACTGTTGGCTTGTTCCAAGCTAACACCGTGTTGAAATTAGGAAACTTTTTAAGGATACATGTTTCCTTAAATTTAGGACAAGTTTTTTTTCAGTGCAGCTCAATTAGTGCTGTAAAAATGTTTTTTCTTCATAATTATCGAAGAAATCTCCCAGAAGCGAGTAGTTTTGGCCTCCCACCGAAAAATAGTTAATTTTAAAGGCAAATATTTGTGTAAGTTTTAACACTGTATACACATATAAAGTATCATCAAGAGAAAATGATAATTTGCACGAGTTTCAAATCATTGTAATTGCGCTGGTGCTTTTTTGCTAAATGCCATCCAATTAACTTTGGCGTCCTTAGTTAAGAATACCGTTCATTTAACTAAAGAGACATCAATGCAACCACCAGATTATGAATGCAACCAAACTATGGCTCATTCTAGAATTTGTGCACACACATTGATCTTTTGCAGATGCTAAGATATAACTTCAGAAAATCATGTTGAAAGTTAATATATCAGAAAAATTTAGTACATATTTATTTCGATTGATCTAATATTCTTTGCAAATGACTGTATTTTAAAATTTTTAGGATAAGAGATCTTAATGAGCAGGAGCTCTCGTTTTAGAATAACAATTTCTGTTGCCTTTTGTGAAAAAATAAGAATAATTTTCTGGCGAAATAATACTCCTCAGTATTTTAATTTTTAAAGAATGAAAAAGGAGCAATGCAAGTTTTTTTCTGGTCAAAAGAAGTCGTAAAATTACATTTGATTCTGAATATATTTTTGCGTTCTCAATATGGAAGATCACATCCTAAATAGGTTTCTGCTTGAAATAACGCGTTTTTCCAACGCGTTCAACATTCATATTTTGAAAGAAGAGGTCAGTAATTTTCTTCGAGTACTTATTTGGATCAATTTCACACCGTCCTTAAATTTGTAAATGTTAATAAATTCTTGCGAAAATTCATATTTGCTGCTTTTTCTTTGACCACAAATACAAATTAATATTCCCTAGGTTATTAACAATTCATTGAAAAATAGTCAAATTTTTCTCCCATTAAATGAGCCCAGGGCAGAAATTTTGAAATATCGTAATCGAATAAATGGTATTCTTTTATTTTTTCTTCCATTATCTGCTCTTGTGTTTCCCGAGGAGACTGCTCATCGACAAAATCATCCCCTAGCTTTGAAAAATTTCTCAATTAAATAATATTTTCGGTCAATTTCACATCAAATCTTGCCATAATTAAAGTAAACTCATCAAAGTGACTTCGATCTTATTTCGAGAATCAAAATAATCTTTTGAAACCACAACGACACAGATGCTCAAAGACCACACCACCAAGCATGCACATCACTTTAACAAGATCTGAAGTCAAGTAAGCATTTGAAAATATTTCGGCTACCAAAACGATTCATCAGATACAAAGAAGCACAAAAGCAAACTTTGAGAGCAGTTGAAAGGCAAAAAACGACCAGTCAACCATACCTATAGTTAGACAAGATCTAAGATCTTAGATCTCATTGGTCATTGAGCATTAGCTCCGAGCGGTGCGTAAGGATAGGGGAGAAAACAACGAGGTTATGACCAAAAATAATGAAGTAATACTCACGGAAAGCAAGAGGAGATTCATTGCAGGTTGATAGAATAATAGGTTATGTTAACTGGACCAACTGATCTGGCTGATTTCGTCTGGACGTGACTTTTTCTTCTTCTTCCTCCGCCGGCCACGCTCCGGTGGTTGTGGAGCGCCTCGCGTCGCGTGGAGTGAATTCATGCATTACTTAACATCATCACAGCTCCAGATATCTCATTCAACCGTTTCCACAGTGGTCCTCAAAACTGAATAATCTATCGAAACACTGCAAATGATGCCTGTTCTCGGTGACGATATTTCAAAATTGTAGGAGCTCTGTGGCTTTGAGCCATATTTGGACTAATTAGGAACTACAAGTTCTGACTCATCTGGGAAAACACTTATGTGCATAGGGAAACTAAAGGTGCAGACATTGTTTCGAAATCGAGCCAGAAATTGTAGCTCCTAGTTGCAAAATGTGGTCCTTTTTGGACCGTGTTCAGCAGAAAAGAACCAAGTACATTAGCTATTGCCAAAATTAACTGGGCAATAAAATTTTTAACAAGAGGACGACTGTGCGGATTCCTTTGAAAATGTTCAGGAATTTGCTTCGCACTATGCAGAAAACTCACTGAAATTCGCACAAAAATCCGCACAACCTTTTTCATGAAAAAATTAAATTGTCTAATTAAATTTGGCAGTAACTGACGTGGCTTAGTTTCTTTCTGCTTAATGCGGTCCATTTAATTGGATCTACAACGACATGTAAGCAGATATCGACGTCTCGTATACATTTTGCTAAAAAATTGGTTACACTCTCAATGTTCGACGGGAAAGATATCCATTACGACCAGAAGCACATTTTGGCCGTCTCTTTCCTCCTGGAAGCTCGTTTTTATAGCCTAAATTAAAGCTAAGAGCATGCAAACGCGAAAACTAGCGATTACTAATCTCCCATCGAAAGTAAAAACGCCGTGACTCCATTCAACGCTTTTTCAATGAATTTCTTACAAAATTCTGTTTTACAAAAAACCTACCACAAACATTCATCCTTCATTCTTTCAATACAACTCTGCCACATCATCAGAAAATAAAAATGAAAAAAAGAAGCCTCGTGGCAATAATCGAATTTTGTCTATAATAGAGCAGTATGTTCTAAAAAAAGGAAAACATTTTGAGTGGTTTTACGACGTTTTTGCTGTGGACGGCAGCAGTGGCGTGGCGTGAATGATCGATTATCGATATCTCGCCATTTGAAGCTATGGTAAAGAATCGATTACTAAGGTGTTCGCTGCGAACACCCTAATGATCGATCTTTTTTCATAGGTTTAAATGGGAGATCGATCGATAGATCGAAAAGCACGCCACGCCACTGGACGGCAGTAATCGCTTTAACCGTGACTAATTGAGTGGAGTATTTCACGTTCCCATACTTTCTGCTCTGTTTCAGGGTTTGCAAAATGGGTTCATTCAGGAAGAGGCAGCTGGAACATGCTTCTAAGCTCAATGGATTTATTTGCTTCCAAAATAATCTCCCGTCCCTCGTACGCCCCTGGTCCCAAGAAGCTAGATGACATCGTTTTTTTCATTCAAAATACTCAAAATTTAAAGAGGAAAATATTTATTTTTCATTTTTATTTTTTTCATGCGATTTCATCCCCCATCCGTTCTCAACGCAATGATGCGCGGTGCGCTCCTGATGAGCAATAAACCTCCTTTACATCACTTTGGCAGTCAAATCCATCGGGTTTGCCTTTGCGTTTCATATGATGCGTCAATCCTAAAATCACCGACCCCTATCATTACGGTTCGATTAAAAGCTTATCGGCGCCCCGTCAATCCCCCTGTTCCGGTGAAAATGACAAATTGGATGGATTAGAAAGATAGTAAGCTGCAATAATGCTACTGATCGGCATTATTACTCGGGAACAGGGAGTCCCAAAAGCACTGCTATGAAGAGATAATTTGCAGAACTCTATCCGGAAATTCAGCCCTAAATTGACAGTTATTGACGCTGAAAAAAATGTTCCCATTCATATTTGCCGAGAAATAATCCCACGATAGCTGAATTTCCTTTTTAAAACAACTGGATCTCTCTTCGATTCCTTCTAAAAGACCGGAATTATTCTTCCAAATTAACAATTCTCTCAGTAAAAGATGCACTGTCCCAGTTGTTAATCCGAGTTTTAAAATGCGCTTTGGCATGTTTTGGGCTGTTATGCAATGCTGTCCACTCATTACATAGGTAACATCAAAATCCCCTAGTTATATGTCACCACAAGCATTGCGAAACTGTGCGATTTAAATCACTAAACTGCACTAGTGCGGTTCTATAAGTAAAAATGATACTTTTCAATTGTAAAATTTTTCCCACAAGTGACCACAAAGAGTTCCTAGGGGAGGATCGGGGGACCGATGTTTACCTCAAGACGTCATGAAATCCCCCTTTTAATTTCAGATGTATATATATTTTGAGGGCACGGATAATAACTCTCTCTTACACATTTAGTCAATGGGTGACGTCCGTTATCGTTGTTTCAAAAGTAAATTTACAATGAATCTTCACGAATTTGATTTCATTCTATTCAGTATTATCGCGGCCACAAGTTATGCAGGGCCGGATTAAGGGGGTGGCCACATGCGCCGCGGCCCATGGCGGTAAATCTTAGGGGCGGCAAAAATTTGCAATTTTTTAAAGTGTAGGTATAAAAAAAAATCGGATTTATAAAAACAAAATTACAAACGAGAAAATGCGTCAAAATCTCTCATTTCCTGAGAGTATAGTAATTCCTAATTTTGTCTTAGTGACACAAAAGACAGCACCCTCAATAAGTCGAGTTACAAGAGAAACCAAACACGCAATTTGGCCTAGAACGGCGCGACTTAGAGAGAAATGATAACGAGGACTTAAGATGAGAAGGAGAAGCCCTCGGCGCGGCGATCGGCATGTAACACATATTAGCGCCTACAAGACTGCTCGAATACTTCACGCATTGCATCAAACACAGTGCGGTCATTGCGGTCAGCGTGAAACGCATAGCGCCTACAAGACTGCGCGAATACTTCACGCATTGCGTCTAACAAGGTGCGGTCTGCGCGGCGCGGCGGCGGAAGTCAAAATCATTGAACCACATTTATGTTTGTTCTTTCATAATTTGTTCGTTCATCTAACTAATAAAAGGGAAATACATTGATCATACACTGATCCATCACGCTCGCCTCCCCGCTCCCACCGGTCGGAATCGGTGCGAACTTAGCCGTTCGACGGGTACTGTCCCCGAGGGGTGCAATATGCTTTCTTTTCGCGATCCGCCCGTCTGTTCGCGAGTAACCGCGGTCGGAAGTCGCGGATATTCCCGTAAGCCCGTGTGTGTTGGAAAGAGAGACGTAGCAGTGCGGGTATATTTCCTGACGCGGCCGTTGCCGGGTGGCCGTCGGATACCTTTAGCTGCGCGCGTAATTGGACCTTGATTTCCGCTGTTCTATGCTATGAACGGCAACACTGCGGGCCTTTCTATGTTTCATCCGATTATCAGCTGATGAAAGTTTTTGAGCTTTCTTATTTTTCCATAGTTATTCTTCTACGCTTACTGCTCGTATATTTATTCGCCTTCCCCCCTCCCCACGAACGTTTTTACTTTGTTTTTTTTTTTTTTTTTTTTTTAAATCTGAGCAGCTGATGAAAATATCTTCCCTGAAATTGCGAAGAGGGCTATGGCAATATTGTTTCAGTATTGAAAGTTATGTTTCTAGGAATATTACCACAAAATTGCAAATATCACAATGGAAGATGGTTCATTTATCATAGGACATTCCTTTGATATTGTATATGCATGTTTGACCCCCCCCCCC